AAACGTATGTGCCAAATTCGTCCTTCAAAGTGGTCATTTAATGACAAAGTAGGTACTGGATGACCTAATGATCAGATTTCCCTGTATAAGGAAGAAATTTAGGTGTAATCATTTCGGTTTTTCTCAATGGTTTGGAATCACAGGTAACACAATTTTATTCTACCAGAAAGAATGAATACCCGGAAGGGATAATTGAGAATCCGGAGTGGAGGACATATTTGGTTAGTGAACTGATACCCGCCTGCATTGCGAACTAGAAGAATACCATAAGCAATAGAATGGAAGGGCGATGGGCTAATCAGCCGATAACATGTGCATTCAAAAGGAAAAATATTGAGTAAAAGTACTCAGGATCCACAGTCATTGTCAGTAGGTCACTTTTCTCTACACCGCTGATGTAAACAGCTTTGGAATCTGATCACTTGTATTGTGATAAGTAAAGTTTTCCCACTATTTTGGTTCCTGGAGGAAGTGCAACCACATGTATCCAAGCAGACCCACATCCTTCCTAACTTCATTTTAATCAGGTCAAATTATAGTGATAGAGAATTATGACGAGTTCCCCCCTAATTTCCTTCATATGTGCACAATTTTTCAAGCATTATCTTCAATGCCAAGTTCGCTCCGAGGTGACAGAGAGGAAATAGCTTGACATTAGAGCTGTCAATAAGACTGTGGAGATCAAAGTCCTTAAACAAATATTCGGTGTTACAATTTGATATAACAGTGAAATATCAAGTTTCAAAAAGGAAGAACAGATCAACTATCCCTAGCACAACGTTTTCCACTTGTGAGAATTAAACAATGTGGCTTATGCTGAAAGAATAATCTTGGCCGTATACCACCTAATTGTGGGAAGTACCGCTTCTAAATATCAATAAAGTATAAAATAGGTGACTCAGATGCTCGGGCGCCAAAATAATGTTTAAATTCACTAACGTTTTATTAGTTTTGACCTTTGGGTTCGGATGGATGACAAGATTCTTCCTAGTAACCTAGATGATAAAATATGGGAATGGAAACAGTTTATTTACGCGCCGTCAGGTCTTCCTAGCGAAGAGGGAGTTCATCAGTGGCGAGAAGGTGCGGTGCTCGGGAACAAAGACTCTTGGTCTCCTTTAAGTGCACCAATCAACAGAACCACACTACTCTGTTCTCTGCCTTTGTGACTAAGTTGACCATTCTCTGCACTTCACAAAACCCCTATTCAAATTCCGAATTTAAGGGGTAATGTCACATTTACCGCCCTTGTCAGATTCAAATTGATTTTCTACCTCCACAGTGCCAAGGGTTAACTGAACCTTAGAAATAGGCTTGAATCCCAAATCCATGGTTGCTATTATCATCCAAAGGATCAGAAAGTGGACATGGACTTACATTCTTTTTCGTGGTTGGAAAGTTGGGAAAATCGAAACCGAAAGATCGGAAATACATTGACACCCTAACAGTAATTCACAACGCTTTGGACAGCATCCCATTTATCCACTGGATATCGGTGTAAGCTGAAGACAGAACCCCTTTCGCCTGCAGAGAACAGTGCACTATTGGAGGTCGCTCCTTCTCAACGTGTGCAATCGTTAACGATGATGGAGCACTCTAAGCAAGCTTAACTGAAATCGTCTTTCTCAGTAGGCATTCTACTGTTTATGTTCAAAGTAGTATAGCTTACTTGGCTCGAGAATGTGAACCCCCAAACCTAATACGAATCGGAACATGTTTACCTCAATCCTAATTACACAGCTAGTTGACTGTGGAGAGAATAATTCCTTTTTAGTTATTCAGAAACATCGTTTATTTCCAGGATATCAGAAGAGCCAGTATACGGGGACCAGGGTATCTACTGTTGGACCACGTGATGCCAAAATTGTAAGAACTGAAAAAGCCTGCACTGATTTATTCTTTAGTCCCACTATGAGTAGTACAAAGTAAACTATGTATGTTATGGAGTCAACCACCTTATCGTATTCTCCTGTTGTGCTACCCACTGAGCTCCCTACATCGGTGATCCAATAGTGACATGCATAGGGGCTTGACAGGCCATAGAGATCAGAGGTGACAGCAGAGGTGATAATAAGGACAACGCATTAGCCTTATTTCTTTGTTTTGAAGGGTTAAAATATTTTTCAAGGACAAATGTTTGTACAAACAGGAATGATGTTACTCGTATTTTTTCTTCCCCTCTTGTTGATAACCATTCCATTTCGCCTTACCGCCACAGCCAACACATCTTGCTTGTCGGCGATGATCATAACCATGGGAAACTTCAAAGCAAATCACTGAAAGTATGCAATTTCCAAAGAGGGCTGTAAATGAAATTTATTAAGTTAGCTAAATGATTTGTGCAGTTTTGGTACCCCTTAATTTGATGAAATCCGAAGTTGTGTAAGAATAGTTGAAACTTACCAATCAATGGGAGAAAAGTCCTATTTGTGCGCCTAGTTCTAGACATCACAACCCAAGGCCTTAACTCACTGCCACAAGAGGGAAGGAGGAATGTAGGAAGGAGAAGATACGAGCTTCTTCCCATTCGCACCCTTTTGAGCAGCGTCTTTAGCGCTCTTTTTAGTCAACCCCTCGGGTTGGCCATCACAACGAAGTCCTTTCTGTAAGTAAGAACACTCCTTAGCCAACCGAGCCAGTCATCAAATTTGCGTGCAAAAGACACATTTTCCTACCACGTTACTGATCCTCTTTGGAGACTCCAATGAATCCGGGGTTTTCGACCTGTTTGGGAAATGTTTTGGCTTGAAGGAGAATGTGCCTCCCATCTCGCGCGTCTATCACTAGTCTTAAGAACACTGACCTAAATGAAGAGTCATTTAATAAGGAAGGGAGATTAAAAGAGTTTAGTGGGGAAAAGTTTCGCATCTATTCACCCTAGTTACTATGTTCTTACTTCAGTGTTACCCAGCTATATCTGTCTCGATCCCAGCGGGCTAGAAGAGGATTGGAGGAAGTATCACGTTTTCACCAAATTGACATCTGCATACAGGTAAGGTCGACTACCTTGTAAGGATTTTTTAGACGGCCTACGGCAGTGTCGCTTCAGCTGTTAATGGCTTTCCCGCGAAACATGCAGCTGGGATGGTTGCCGAAAATAGACGTCATTTTCAGTCTTTCCCTTATATGATGTCGCAGATCCGCCCATGCACAGCATATGCCCCTCTTCAGCGGTTGTGGTGCACTTTTCCTGGACATCCTCATTGCTAGCGTACTTATAAACCTGGCTGTCTTTGCTATCGTTTACAAAGAAACTGACCGTTCGAGGTGGCAAAAGACGAGCCTCACCTTAAAAAATGAATTAATACCTCGACACTTTCCACTGCACTACTCTTCAAGCATCGAGCAATATTAGTTCGATGGTCCATTCATATGGGTCTTTGTACCTGATGAGTGAAAAACCATTTTGTGGGGCTTCTGATCTGTTAGTAAAGAGTCGATAGCTTCCATACAGCGTAGAAAGATTAGTGTATATAACGATGATTAGATCTTGAAGCTACCATGGTAACCACCATGCGTCATGGCATAAAGACAAGACGCCAACACGGATATGCTTTAATGTCTCCAGGTGTCATATAGGGGTGTGATTAGAAGGCAGTCGTGGAGACACGCCCTCTCAAATCATTGGTCGCTAATGGGGAATCGCGTAATAATGAGGCGGACTGTGTTAGAGTCAGTTGCCAGCCCTTTTCACCTGAGCCCTTCTGACTGCATCAAATTGTGTTCTAGATCGATTGGTTGAGTTTAAAACAATCAAAACTGTAGGAAGTTTTCGATTTTATGCCATAGACGATTTTTGGTACCTGAATACTATACCTTTTTGGCTTTTGGAGGTCGAGCTTCCTCCAGGACCTTGGTGGTCAAAGTGCCAAAGAGAATCAACACCTCTGAGTAAAAATTATGGAATGGTAGTGCGATTAACCTGCTGTGTTGCCAAGTCCTGACTAAACCTTCGTTGCAGGGTAATTCATTGGCCATATATACACAAGCCACGTTGAAGCTGCCTTCTGTTATCGCTGTTTGCCCTGCCCACACACTTCTGTCGGTCGTTCACGCAAGTTTGCGCAGAGTGCGTGGAATGCGATTGCATGAAAGTGAAGGAAGCAAGACCTAATTAACAAACCTGAGCAAAGTAATGCCCTAGATACTTTTTCGTTCTTGAATTTAAGAAGTCACAAATGTGGGGGAAGAGTGGGTACAATTAAGCTCTTGAGGCGATTTTGCGTTCGTTTAACTAGGCATGCAGTTTATTGAATGCGGCACATCGCATACGAGGTGTTGAAATGCGGAGGAGGCCCCACGATGTTTTTTTGTTTGCATCTGTAGGGACTTCAATGACAATAGCTTCGAGTCGATTTCAGGGATATTTTGACAAGCCAGGTTTTAAAATCTGTGATAAGTCAAGTTCGAACCACTTTCAACCAAGGTGCCAAGAAAGCCAAGAAGACTCATCTCAACCGGAAACAATTTATTCACGTAGCCACTATCGCCACTAATGGCTTGACGAATGGACCAATTCTCCACCGTCGAAGGCGCAAGATTGCGAGTTCGAGCAGTGAGGAGAGCCTCGAAATCGGGGAGGCATTAGGTTAGCTATAGATTACTTAACCTTTACCCATCCAAAAGTATTTAAACGTGCTTCTGAAATCAGGACTTCAGGTAAGATATCAACAGTCCTATATTTGTTGGAGTAGTCGAATCAGTGCAGGTGCTTTTGGGTTTCTGGCCTCTTATCTTCGCCAGGCGAAAGAGCAGTAAAAAATTGTAAACAATCCCTGTCACGAGTAAAGAGAGCTCAGTTAGGATCTACAGCAACTGCTCCTTGTTTGGATGCAGTCACTTTCACCACAGCATTTCTGAGGTAGAAATTTAAACACCTTTGCAGGTCTGAATGAGAAGAACAGCGACTCTCAATAGTAGGTTGATATTTGCATTGAGAGTATACAAAAGAAGGATGTATAAATAGTAGGGAGGAGTTGGGAAATCAAAATGTTCATTGTTTACCTATCCTTTCGAATGAATGTGCTGTATTTGAGTGGGTCATAACCATAAAAGTGAATGAAATTCGTTATGCAGGCATTTCGAATTATATAGTGGCTCTTTTTACGCGATAGTCCGCCTTTGCACTGAGGACAGGCGAATCGGGTCGCACTGCCCACCTAGAGGAGAACACAATGGTGGTTAAGCGAACCGTTGTTACTACCACAGTCACTGACCAAAGGGACGTACTCGATAAGGCGCCTTTTCGGAAATCTGCTGACTCAGCATGTTCATGGCTATATCCTCGCAGTTCATCAACTCATCAACGGCGGTATAGACTTCGTGTGGAAGCTCAAATGTGTAGGCGTATAGGAAGTACTGTAAAGCATTACTGAGTCAGTACAAGTGCAGTTCCAAACGGTTTGGGCGACACGGGCAACCAATAATTAGACAAGCCTCTGAATGTCGGTGCGGCTTAGTCATTCTAGGACTGCCCAAAATTATTTCCGGTTGCTAAATGCAAAACTTAACTCCCTACGTGCGTGATTCAACCGGCTATTTTTACGAGCCATTCGGTAGCAATTCCTGCTACTTTCTACCTCACTGCTAACTCAGAATGCCTACAAACTGATCTACAGCATAGTCCAAGTAAATTAAACAAGTGTCATCTAAATATTTTCTAGATAAAAGTGTAAAAGCTTACTAAGATGATTTGGAATGATTTGGTGATTATACACCTCATGCTACTAGAGCATGGATAGTACTACTAAGAAGTTAATAAGTGCATACACTTTGCTTCATTTACGTAACGGATTTTCTTGCTTTATAATGGTCAAGTAACAGCGTTTGATTTAAAGTTGAGAATAACAATCAGTAAGTAAATGGAAGAGAAGTCTTAATGACGATTGGGAAAGATGAGCAACAGACTAACCTTGTGAAAAAAAGACGCACCCGTTAAAACTAAGGAGTAGGTGCGGGTCGCAGAGGCAACGTATCTGAAATTGCCATATCTTGACAACCATTCATGGCTTCTTGCAACATATCCCACTATTCTATCCGGGTTGTCACTCCACACCCTTGAAACAGAAGCACAAGGATGATATAAATCTTGATTAAAACTCTTAAAGTTTTTTGGTTAAAGCTTGAGCAATTAAGTCCTATAGCATCATAAATATCACTTCAATACATGTTTAGATAATCCTCTTATTTTGGTTTCAGTTTTACTACCTAAAACCCAAACCCACTGCTTTGGGTTCTGGAACCACCTCATCATCGACCGTCAATACAGCATCAGTTTTTATCAGGTCGAAGGGTAGAAATCGACTCTGAAGTTTGTTTAAAGGCACACGAATCACCTACAACCGGAAAAATAGTTTTGAAACAACTGACGTATTATAACCTTCATGCCAAATTTTGTAACAAATATAAAAGTTTGCAATATCATTTTGCAGGGGAATATGTTGACCTTCAAAAGCTGAAAAGTACCAATTGAAACATGGCCCTACATTTGAATGGAAGCATAAAATTCAAGCAATCATGGAACATTTCGGCGAAAAGCTATATCAATAATCGTTTGCATTGGCAAAGGCTATTTTAAATGTGCAACAAACTCCTGCTGACACGGCACCTAGGGAGTAGAATCGCGGGTTGAAGTCCGCCAATCAGATTGGAGGTCGCACTACCTTGACTTCAAGCGCAGATGCAAAGCCATGTCTCCAGGTGGCCGAATTATAGTACAACTGAGGTTAACGTAATTCAGGGTGTTGCAAATGTCTACTCAATGTAGGCAATCAATAAAATCTTGTTGAGTCTACAGGTGTTGCAGCGTTGATGATACCTATGCAAATGTCAGTGCCACTATGACAAGACCTGGTAACCAGAGGTGCCTTTAAAAGAGTCCCATTAGCGCTGGTGGCAGCTTGGGTAGGAAATTGAACGAATAAATGAATGCATGTCTAAATGGATGGATGAATTAATGTAAGAATCCATACGATAACGTCAGTAGCAGTACCAAAGGTGAAGTGAACTCCACAGAGTCAATGCCATAGCAAATGAGATGTCAGTCACCAATCCCAGGTAAATTTATGAAGGAATTTTCAGTCAACTTATGGAAGCCTTTCTAACTCATTAATCTCACCAATGCATTGTCCCGAGTACATCGTAAATAAACAGGTTGGCTAAATGAGTTCGAGGAACTGCTTTGTCACTTATGCATGAAGAAAATAATTATAAACCTGAGCACGCAAGATAAGAGGACATTCGTGCTTCATTCGAGTACTCACATGTACTGGAAATGGTGTGTCAGGCCATTGGTAGGACTCTGGTCTGTAATAAGGATGATTCCAAACAACCACTATGGATTCCAGTAAATCCTTAACGCTTTGAAAAGTTTTGATGTTGTCAATCAACATTTGGATCCTTTCGTATGCCAAAAAGATTGCTAAAGTGCACCAAAATCGTTTTGGTGTCATTCTTGTAAAAAACCCTCCACAGTCGTATTTGTACTTTGCACAAAAAATTCTATCAAATGTTTTAACAAAATATGATGAACAAGGCATTCGTAAGACAAGTATTTCTGCGAACGCTTTTAAACTAAGAGGTGTCAGTCTAACCCCTTTCACAGCAAGTTCACTCTCACCTCCCCGATGATTTGCAATAAGTGGATATTTTTTAATTCAGTGGCTAAGTGGGAGGATCAAATGCATCAGAAAAATGAATTCTGGGCCTTATGCAACTAATTTGTTATTAAATTATTAAAATAAGGAAAGGTAGGGCTCAGGCAGAACTGACGGGCTTAATTTATAATTCAATACTGGTAGTTTAAACACTTATAATTCCCTTATTTCAGTTTAATAAGTTAAGTATTATTTGGTTATTTCAAGGTGAATTTATTTCCTTCCCACATTTCATTGGTTGCTAAATAATGCTTTACAGATGTGGGGTGATACTTTTACTAATTAATGGCTGACAGACAGATGCTAGGTATTGCTACTCATCGATCCTTACAATGGATCAAAGGTCTCGAACATTCGACATTCGAAGTTTGCAGTTGTGTTGACAAGCACACTTCAGAATGCAGACCCCACAGCTTACTGAGTCAATGCCTCTTATGACGCTTCAGTACTGAGATTTTATGTACTTTAACAAGTTGGTATCTTCTGGCCAAAAAACTATGCATTCTGAAGGGAAAAAAACTTACTTGTGAATTTATCCGTAGCACTTGGTTTATCTAAAAATGGGAAGCAAAAAGGGAATAAAACTCGATATGCTGGTATGTTGACGTATTTGCCCTATCTACTGAAGAGTACAAAATAGAAGTGCCATTAGGGAAGCTGCTGGTTTTATACAACAAGCTAGATTTTGCAGCTGATTTCTCAATTTCAATAAGGTTGATCTCAAGCAAATTTGCTGGAGAGGGCTTTGAGCTAAATAATTGCCAACTTAAATATTATATTTGCTCTAACTCACAGATATTATGAAAAGCCTTACTATGTCCCTGGTTTATTAACAGAAGAGCTGGAGATGCCAATTAAAGAAAGTTTAAATGAGGAAACAACCCATTCTAGTATCATTCATAACACATGCACCTGTTCGAAATTCAAGCTAGATTGCAACTTTTATGGACAATGATACTTGGACTCTACATTTTGTAGCCACCAAACACCTTTGTATTTATGACGAATCGAATTCAATTTGAGGATGCATGACGGTAGGATAAGAGAGCAGAAAAACATACTTGATACACTTCCGTCACAGATAGTCCAGGGCGTTTTGTCAAAAGTCCACAGAGGTCCTTCAAAATCTGCCCTCACCGGTGAGTTACAGAGTGGTTTGACTTGCATCGCGTCCGAAACCATTATGGGTTTGCTGACGACCTCGTCCGTATTAAGGGTATAAACTCGAACCTGAGTCCCCGGAATTGCAGTAACAAAACGAGTCTTAGTTGTCGGAGCTGCCGGCTGAGGCAGCAAAAGTGCCTTGTTCAGTATTGCTACGGCAGTCTCTACCTGCTTTCCAACAGTTTCCAAGTGGCGATTGAATAGTTTCGAGATCTAAAATAGATGATAAATGTCAAATAGCTGTAACTCCCCTCAAAGGGTCGCATCTCTTATTACAATTGGTGCTCAGGCGGAAACTGAAACTTTGATATGAAATTGAAACCTTTTTGTGGGCTACGACGGAAGTTTGGTGAACATACAAATTTTGCGGTTACTCAATTTCAAATAAAGCATATATTTTCACTCTCGTTGGAGATGCACTTCGTCACGAGAGAGGTTAATTTCGTGAAGATTTTAACCTTTCATTTAACAAGTGGAAAATAGTTTGGTTTACTACTTTGAAATTACCTTATCCAGTCGCATGACACGCTCTTCCGCAGACATTCCTTTCAACTTCGAGACAAAGTCATTTGCATTGGTGAACGGTTGGAATACAATGGCTTTGGACCAGAGACTCTCAAGAAGGCTAAAGAAAGGCAAGTATTTCTCCGCTTCCACTGCCTTATATTTAGTTGGTATAACGGGAATTGAACGATAGAAAAAGCACGTCCATAACTGTGCGTGAAGAGAGCGAACTGCCGGCGATGTCAGTGCCTCCCAATTATTGACGACGACAAGGCAAAAGAAGGAGTTTTGAAGGATCTAGAAAATCAAATTAAAAAAATGCCATTGTGTTGCGCTCATTTTCAAGTAAAAATCAAAGATCCTTGTTAAACATTATCGGACATCACTGAGTGCCTGTGTTGGCAAGCTTTGGTAGTTTATCATAACGCACTTGGCGACAAAGCGGTTTAGCATTCTTATTTTGTATAATAGACTGATTGTGATTTCTTGACGTTTCATCAAATCAGGAATGATATTATTTTATAAAAAATAGCACCTTGAAGTTACTTTGTCATTTTGTGGCAAATAAGTCCTTAATATGAGGTTGCGAACGTTATTATCACAGTATTTTTAACTTTAGAGGAACCCGTTTTAAAACTGTTCCTCCAACTGAAATCGAGCCAGGATGAAACATTAAATGACATTTATGACCACAGAATTCTGACTATAAGGTAAAAGCAAGTATCAAATACGACAATAAAGCGCAAGTGATAATAGCTAGCGAAAAATATGGTTTGAAATCCTTTTAATTTAACAATGATTGCCAGTAAGAAGCTAAATGTAATGAACTTTCCTCTTCACCACATTAGAAATCTCACCAAACACCAAATTACTAGCCTTGCCGACCGGTAAATGAAGAGTGAAAAACTCACATCTCCTGCTTGACTGCACGGCAAATACTGGGGATTTTCGTTTGTGGGAGGAAGTCCGTTGGGGAAGCACCTAACGTTGGTGGCATTCCTGATTATGACTTTTGCACCAGTTACAGCTGAAAGACCGTTAACCATTAACGATGTATGATCATCGCCCTCCTGCTCTAGACTTCCTAAGTCAGCTCCCACTACATAAGATTTGTTATAGGGATTTCTGATTATCAAAGACGAATAGAATATCGGGTGAGGAAAAATAAGAGTTATGGGAACCATGGGCCAGTAGGGAAAAACCAAGCCAAATGTGGCTGGGGTGAATGCATTTTGATTGACACCAAAATCTGGCGTAGCAATAAGGAATTTGGCGGAGAACATAGACGGAGATTTTACAAAGGAAAAACAATAGTCATCCTTCCGGTTACTAAGGCAATGTGAAAGACTTTCTTCGGTCATTGCAAGCTGCAAATGACCTGATGCACAATTTGTACTCAGTCGCGATAGAAGACTGTAGGCTCTGGTGAAGTACTTGTTAAATTCCTTCTGAGAGGTACAAATTTCCATTGACTTCTGGAGGAGGTACTGTCTTAGATCAAGTAAAGCTCCACTGAGTAAGACATGGGCAGTTTTGTTGCCTTCCAAGGCCCTTTCAATTTCATTTTCGCTACGGGATTGGAAACGCTGCAGGAGAGAGAGGAATGAAAAAGCCAAAAGTGAGGACATTAAGCCTATTATTTACCACTACACTCCATCTTATGTTAGTGCGTAGAAGTGGCTGATGGAAGTGATGTAATGGTGCATCAAGTGAAAATCACTGAATACTTGCGTAAAATCGGTGAGACTGAAAATTAGGTGTAACTGCGGTGCATTAAATGTGCCACACCTT